GTCTCCCTGAGTGGTTTCAGATATGCTAATTCCTTCTTAACACCTAGAATCTAATACCTATTCATTTCTGACCCCATGCACACACCTTGCAAGACGTGGATGTGGGTGTCTGCTGCGCAGGGCAGTTACAGGCCCAACTACCTGCAGACTTTGGGGGCAATTCCCCTTCCTCTCCTGAAGAATAATCTAAAAGTCTCGATCAGAAATTGTGGCCAGTTCAGGCAAACAAACTTACACAAAAAAAGTATGCACAGTTATGTAAATTACATCAAGTGAATAAAAAAATATGTATATAGATATATTTAAAAAGTATACACATAAACACAAGCCCAGGTTGTTTTGAAAAGACTTTATTTTGATGTTTCATGCCAATCCACATTCAATACCTCCCATAATACCTTTGAATTAGTTTTTATCATAATTAAAAGTATGCAGAAGGACAACATAATGAGGAGAGACCATTTAATAATTTCATTGATCTCTGGTCTCTTGACCTCTGCCTGTTATAAAGAAAAATCATGAAAATTGAAAATAAGCCATTTATAAGATACATAAAGAAGAAGAAAAAGATAACATAATGAAGTTTTTTCACTAAGTCCCATATAGCTACTACCCCCGTGGATCCCAATATGCAAAAAAATCATATTATTTTCTATGCGTTCCACGACGTGTAAAATATCAGGAAGTAAGGCGTGAGAAGGTTCTGGGCTGTTGACCACATTACCTTTGCTTAATTCTCGCAATGGTGGGGCAACACGGAGACTGAGTGCCCAGTATGGCTCCTCAACTGCCACCAATTGGCTCTCATTAAAGAATTGCCAAGGAAGCAATGGTCTGTATCTGCCATTTACATTTTAGTGTGAATTTATTTCTAGAGCATCATTTCCCTCTACTTGTGAAATGAAAAGAAAACATTTCATTTAAACTGCACCAGTGAGAGATGCCTGTAAGGCTGAGTGATTTCTGACACGCAAGTGTTTTGACTACTGCTCACAAATAGATGTCCCAATGGCCAAGAAAGGTCCTACAAGGCTCTATGAGAATGTTAGCTGTGACCATTACTGATATAAATTACTAATTCAACACTAATAAATTTATTACTAATATGAAAAATGTAACCATTCTTACATACATATCATAGTGTGGAATCCAAAATGAGTTTTTAGTTCTTAGAGAATTCAAATACACTGATTCTTAAGATGGACACAGGACCCCAAAGAGGTTCTGGTCACTTCTGAGTGTCCTCCCACCTGCTCCAGAGACCAGGGTGGCCAGTGTGACACAAGGTCCTGCCATTCCCTACTTAACAGCCCACCTCTGCATGGGGCCCCTCACCTGGGCAGGGCCATCTCAGTAACAGGTGCTCTCTGTGGATGCCGTGCCAGTCACCCTGACCTGACTACTTGAAGCCTCGGAGCCCTTCCTTCCTCTGGTCCTCAGCACAGCTGCACTCCCCCTCCCACTGCATCTCCAATTTCAGAACCGCGGCCCTGGCCACTCTAGGGCAAGACCAGTATGTAGTCAACCATCAGCCACTCTGGTAACCTCTGGAGGTTCCACTTTCTAGGAGGATCTTTGTAAACCCCTCCCCCACTTCCAGTAGAGGTCAATGCTCTGCCTCCCTGACTTGCAGGGACCAACACATCCCTCCCTGTCCCTTGCCCCTGCCACACCCCACTGCTAGGGTCATGAGGTGGGGGACGTTACCGGGCGGGGAGCAAGCACACGGGCAGACGCTCAGCAAACGTGCGGGCGACAGAACCAACATCATGGCTGCAGAACTTTACTCCTCGGGGGGTCTCAGCTGCATTTGGCCATGTCTCCTGAATCCATACTGAGGGAGCCTGGCTGGGAAGGACTCCAGGGGTGACCTGGGCCTCGTGACTTGCCTTCTCACTGCGCAAAACCGGCATGGGCGATCGATTTCCTTCTCCGCCCTCCCTGTCCCTCTCTCCTTGGGAGGAGATGGCGGGTCAGGACCCAAGTCTGGCCCTGACCCCCGCCACCACCTGTGGGGACGCTGCGCCACCTAGTGGAGGACTTGCGGTACTGCATGGAGCTGTCAATCAGTGTCCTGCCTCCAGCCCCAGAAATGCTTTCCCTTCAGAGGGCTGTTAACTCCAAGCACAGAAATAATCCCATCATCTCAGCGGGGCTGGGGAGGTGGAGTGCTCCCTACCGTTGCTGAAGGAAGGGGCGTTCCTCAGGTGGTCCAGCGTTACCATGGAAATGTCACACCCTCCCCAGCCGGGCACTGCTGCCAGGTGATGGGGGCCGGCTGCTGTATACTGATTGGGCTTGGATACAAGAAGCCTTGGGGACGGTGACAGAGGTACTGATGTGCAGGAGCAGGGAGTCTAGTCGCCCTCTGTTGTCTCAGGACCAGCACCGTGGGAAGGGGAACCTATCTCTGTACATTTTGGGAGGATCAGTGGATGGGCGCTGCTTCCCACTGATTCTGTATGCAGTTCTGCGCTGGTCAGCGTCCAGTTTTCACAAGACTGGCTCCACTGTAAACTCCTTACATGCCGATCAGTGACAGCTTCCGGGACAGGGAGACGGGACCAACAGCCTGTCATTCAGGGCTTTCCAGTCCTGCTCTGGCCCACCCCATAGGTACCTTGCTTGTTTTTCAAATGTTAATGGATTATGATTTTTTCCTCTTTTAAAGATCATAGCCCTGTTATTGGCCAAAACAGAATCGCTGGCTATCTGGAACAAAGCCTCAAATCCAACCTGCCACCTGCTTGCTTAGTGCTGGGCAGTGGTGTGACTGGTGAGACCCTGCGACCATGTGCTCAGTTTTCAACATGTGGTTGCGGGATGTCTTAGTCTGAGGTCACCTGACACTGACCTGAAGCCAAGGACTTGGATGCAGAATCCCAGAAGCCCCAAGAGGGGTGCAGATGTGAAAGATGGGTGCAGATGAGAAAGTGGGGTGCATATGGGAAAGAGGGGTACATATGAGAAAGTGAGGTACAGGTGGGAAAAGGGTGCATATGGGAAAGAGAAGTACAGATGAGAAAGTGGGGTGCAGATGGGAAAGTGGGGATACAGATGAACTAAAGGAGAAAAGCCAATAAAGCTTGTGTCCCAGCCCATGGGCTGCCTTGGGGTCCCCTCTGCAGAAGATGGAGGCTGGGAGAGCCCTACACAGAGAAGAGACCCCCCTCAAGGCCGGAAGGCGGCGGTGAGCTGAGACCTGGTCAGCTGAAGGTGAATGGGGGCCTGGGGCTCAGAGCAGAGTCTGCAGCATCTGTGCAGTAAATGGGGGGCCTGCAGGGTGATGGGAGGGGAAGACAGAGCCCCAAAAAGAACAGGGGGGACATGAAGCTAAGGGCCGGCAAGGGGCCTGCTCCCCACCCATTCAGAGCTTTCCAATCCAGCCCTGGCCCACCCCACAGTCTTACTGTGGCTCTCCCCACCCTAAACCCTTCACCCCTAGGGCCTGCCAGTGTACCCCTAGCCTTGGTGCCGGAACTTACACTCAAACTGTCCTTACTGAGGTGGAAATGATGCCACCAGCCCGAGCCCTGGGAATGAACATGGCCTCCCCAAGTGGCTGGCCAGTGGGCTGGGCCTCAACCTTCCACTGGCTTGTGGAGAAACTGCTGTTGGACCTATGACTCTGAGGCTGGTCCAGCTGCCAGCATCAGGAAGGCGACTGACAGGATGTTTCACTGCACAAATGCCTTTTATTTGGATGTAGCTACTTAGTAACCATCCCAGACAGCTGCTGGGCAAGAGTAGAGAGAGTGGTGGCTTTTCAAGGAGGCGGGCAGTTAGCAAGTGAATGGGTCAAAGGTAGAGAAGCTGTGTAGAGAAGCCATTCCTAGGTGACTCCTTGTCCCAGCCCTTCTCCTTCCCCCAGGAGCAGAAAGAAGCTGATAGAAACTGTGAGCCCTCCAATTGCCTAAGACCAGTCTCTCCACATTGTAACATATTTCATTTCAAAGCAACAGCAGCTGTATGCAGTTACAGGCTGTGCCCCACCTGCAACCCACGAGGCCAGGGGACCTAGCATGGAGCGAGGATAGGGCTGGACCCTGCACAGCTGGAGAAATCCCAGATGCACAGCTTTCTCTTGGAAAACATTCACTTTGAAACCAAGCACCCGGATGCTATGTTTGTGCACCACACCAGCCTTTTCATCGAGAATGGCCCAGAAGTCAAATGCCCTGTCTTCCCTGTGGGAGCTCCTGCTGCGGGAGGCAATGGGGATGGGCCCAGGCTCCCCCAGCTGGCGCCAGGGATGCAAAGGGAGTGCGCACCTGCATGAGACCATATATATCCCTGGGACAAGTGTCCTTTCCCGATCTCTTGAGATGTCCCATGTGATGTGACATAAGTGAGCCCGGAGGAGAATCCTGGCACAAAACTTCCTGCCTCCTTCCTTGACGGTCTTTTTGAGAGACAAGGTGGCTTCTAGTCCTTTTGGAGTGGAGTCTTGGAGGCAGGACACAGGAGTCCTGCAGCTATGGAGCTTTCTGAGAGCTCCTCTCCCCTCCACCCCCACAGGTCTTATTGTATAACAATTTTGTAGTCAATCACTTATTTCTCCTGTAAATCTATCCTCAAAATTTATTTTACACAGATTTTCCTTGGATCCCAAAGCTGGGGAGGGAAAGGAAGGAGATGTGGGATGGGGCTGGCAGTGTGGCTGGAAAGCAGAACAGAACCACAGGACAGGAGGCCAGTGCATTTAAGCAAAGATGTGGAGGCAGCGACAGCATCATTCTGGTTTTAAGAAACTAAGACTGAATGTTCCCGTATACTGCTCTGGGGTCTGTCCTCATTTGCTGAGACAGAGTCCCCAGCCAGGTGTTATGGTGGGGCTTCAGAGACTAGCTTTCCAGAAGAGCTAGGTTTGCTGCCATAACCCCAAAAGCCAGTGCTTTCCCAGGCAAAAGGCAATAACAGCTTTTCGTATTCACCCTAATGAATTAAAGTGTCCAAATGCACATGCAGAGTGTGGTTCCGCCACTCAGTGTGGAAAGGTGGTCCGTTAGTCCCATTGATGTTTTGTTGATCTGTTTTCATCAAGATGACGAAGGCTGAAATGACCCTCGGGAGCCAATGACCCTGGTTTTGAGAGCACTTCGCATGGCAGGCCCTCGGTCCCTCAGTGGTAATAGATGCTGAAGGCGTGCAGGACGTAGAGCAGGGTGGTGATGAAGGCGAAGAACTGGAACGTGATGAGAGCGGTTGCATTAGAGACGGCCAGTGCTGGCCATTGCCCACCCCTCCACGGGGCCCTCAGCCACGTGCTTTAACCCTGCTGTGTCCCCTGTCCACCCCGTTCCCTGCCTGGCCTGAGAGCAGCAGCCACTGGCCCACTGCCCCATCCTCCTCGAAGCTCTCCACCCCGGGTGTCCTGAGGCCACACTCAGTGTCTCGTGCTCATCTCTTATCTGCATACGTGTCTTCCGGCCATAAAGCGGCTTCTCTCTCTCCCTGCCCTGAGTCCTCTCTCGTGCCATTCTCTTGTCCTAGGTGTTTCCTCTGCTACTTTCTGTCACTGTGTGTGCCCTGATGACTCCTCCAGTTTCACTCGCCGGCCCAGACTCCGTTCTCAGTACATGTTGGTCAGCTCCCCATGAGAGCCTCTGGCTCCCGGAGGTCCAGACTGAGCTCCTGAGATGTCACTGCAAGCCTCATAGCTCAGATGGCTCCAGGGCCCTCATCCTGTCCAGCTACCTGAGCCACAAACCTGTGACCTCCACTGCTCCTCCCCAACCACCACTGGCAGCACGATCTGCTGATTTGGCAGCATGTCCACCTCTCCTTTGTCTCGTGCCATCATCCCTCGCCAAGACCTCTTGTGGCCTGGACGCATCCGCTGCTGCCCGCTCCGCCCCTCTAATCTGCCCAAGAGGAAGATGTGACCTTGTTTAACTAGTGCTGTAGGATGACGCCTGCAGCTCAGGACACAGGCTCCAGCCCTCAACACGCTTTCCAGCCCGGCCCATGGTGCCAGCCGCACTTGTTCTGCTGTTCACTCACACTCTGCTCTCATTCACTCATTCGTCCATTCAAGAAATATCTTTTAAGCACCCGTTACTCTTTGAAAATAACAATGTCTATTATAGTGAACATTCAAAACTACTGTCCTCTTGGGGCTCACACTTTAGTGACAGAGCAGAAAGCAAGCAAGATAAACAAATAGCGTGGTAGGAGAGATGGGGCCAGCGCCCAGAAGAAAATGAAGCGGGGGAGGCCTGCTGGTCTTCCTGAGAAGGTGACCTGAGAAGGAACAGGAGAAGAGCCGCCTCCTGGAGCGAGGGTGTCCTTGCCGAGGCCCTGAGGCCAGAGGACGTCTCTGAGTCCAGAGGGTAGCAAGGCAGCCGTGTGGCTGGAGTCCTGACTGGGACAGAGCAGGCATGTGCTGGGCTCAGCAATGAAAGGCCGCCATTGCTGGAGTGGTGAGTGGCCAGAAGGTAAATGCTTGATGGGAAGGGAAAGGAGGCAGATGGGCCCAAAAGGCAGCTAAATACCTGTGGCCACCCCCATGGTCACAGTGCCGGCCAGCATCCATTCTTGTGCTGGGGTCCACACCCCATGTGGACCCCTTTGTCACCGATCCCTCCCCCAGATGACGAGGCTCCACCTTTCTGGTAGCAGCGATTCCTACCCGGCCTGGACATTAGGGTCCCACCTGGAAGTTTTCAAGGTGGGGCAAACGATGAAGGTTGGGCCCCTAGGGAAGGAATTGGCAGCCTGCAGTGAGGCCTGATGCGTGGGGTGCCTTGCACGAAGAGGGAGCTTGGGCCCAGGCCAGGAGGCCAGGTGGTGGGGCTGGAGTCCACTTGCTCCATGGGCTCGCAGGCTGGGGACACTGCTCGTCCCATCACTGGGCTGAGCCACCTCGCCTTGGATCCCTGTGGGCTCTGTCACTGGAATAAAAGGGCACTTGAGCAGATTGGCCATGCAGAGGGACCCAGGCTCCAACTCCGTGTCGAGCAGCGCTCTTCATAGGAGAGAAGGGAGTCCCAGTTTCCATTTTGGAAAAAAAAATCCGAGGGCAGTGAAGTGGGTGTCAGAGCGCTGGGATGGGAAAAACAGAAGGCAAGACGTGACACCTGAACTCGGGTCCTGGACACTGTGAGCCCGGGCACACAGATTGACACATACATCCGCACACACACGCCCTCCCCCGCCCTCTGGGACCAGCCCCCGGCTCCGAGCCCTATCTGGCACCCACCGAGGCTGTAGTGTTTATGTAGTAGTTGTGTATGTCCTGGGTCTCAGAAACGATGGTGGCGTGTGCCTGCAGGACAGCCGCGCTCATGTACAGGATGCCAGTGGTTCCGTGGTACAGGCTGTCCTGGGGGCAGAGCAGAGGCCATGTGAGTGTGCCCTCACGCGGCTGACACAGCCATCCCCCGAGGACATAGCCAGGAGGAGCGACACACAGACAGGCCAGCTCCCGGCTCCAGCTTTGCTTTTATTTGTTTTCAATAGTGTTTCTAATGAAACATCCATGTAGTGAACGACTCAGGGCTAATAAACAGCCATGATGAGCTCAGTGCCAGCCGACACTGATGAGGGCTTGTCCGCCCCAGCTCTTTGCTAGGCCTGTTCTCATTTACCCCACTGGACCTCATCAGCAATGAGAGAAGTCCCATTTGTCATTAGTGCCATTCTGGGGCTGACGGGAACAGGTTCAGTAAGTAAATAAACAGCTGAGGTAGGATTTGAACCCAGGGCCGCATCGGCGCTGGGCAGACGCATCACCCTGGACATGGCCCTAACCACACACATGCTGTCCCATCTCATTTCCACAGCTAAGTTCATGGGCTGCTCTATTGTTCTCTCCACTGACAGAGGAGGAAACTGAGGCTCAGCTCACACGTGGTGGGGTCAAAAGAGTCAACTACTCTGGTTCCAAGTTTCAGTTTCGGACCCTCTGTGCTGAACTCTGAGCCGTGTCCTTCAGCTCAATGAGAATGTCATGCAGCATTAGAAACAGCTTATCAGGTCTGGCAGGAACGTCATCATGGGCAAATCAGCATTTTGCAACCCCTAATGGACTATTCCATTCCGGAAAACTCATTGGTAGATGAAAGAAGCATTAGAGAAAAAGTTGACGGGGCAGGGCTGTCACCCTCCCTGAGGGAGAGTGACCACCAGTCACCCTGTGAGATGTGACCTGAAGCCACTTATGAAGCGTGCTTGCCAGGAAGGTTCAACCCATCTTCAGTAACTCTGAGTGCTAACTTCCAGCTTACAGAAAGTTTAGGGACATGAGGGACGAGTCAAGTCACACCAGGAAGAAGGAAACAGGCAAGTCCAAAGCGGAGGACGTGCTACAGGACAGCTGACCCGGTTTCCTCTGGCAGCGAGAACTATCCTAGACCAAAGAGACCCAGGAGCCATAGCTGCCAAATGTGATGCGTGGCCCTGGTGAGGGTCCTGACTCAACAGGCCAATTGCACTAGATATTTCCGAGATGACTGGGGACATTTGAGTGTGACCTGGGTCTTAGATGACACCGCGGAATTACTGTTAAGGTTTACGTGTATGGCAATGTAAGGAAGCTTGCATATTTTTGGCGGCACACTGAAGTGTGCAGAATGAAATGACGTAATGTTTGGGGATTGCTTCAAAATTCTTCAAGAAAAAAACAAAGACCATACGAAGCGAATATGGCAGAATCCTGGTGATGCTAGACTCTGGGCTACAGTTACATGAGGGTCCCTAAAACGACTCTTGCTGCTTGAGTGTATGTCTTAAGTTGTTTGATATAGAAAAACATCAAGATGCTATGATAACATGAAACATAATTAACGTTGGAATATTGAATGAAAGAATCTACAGCTCAGATTGTTGGTTCACTGCAATTAATATATATATATACATTGAATGTAAAGTTTGTGAGGGATGTGGAAGGACAGACTCAGGGATAGTGATGGACCCTTGAGAGTGGGGTGATATTTTTTCCTGCTGGCATTTCCTTTGATGTTGCTCTAGCGATTTTACCACAGATAAAATTTAGGAGGAAAGGAGTCCAGATGTGCCTGATACAGGAGCACAGCTGCCCCTGAAACAACCCAGGCCTGAATTGCACTTGCACGTGGGTCGTTTTCGATGAGTACGCACAGTGCTGAGAATGTGATTTTCTTGGTAATATTTTCCTTTCTCTAGCTTACGTGATTGTAAGAACACAGGATATAAAACATATGACATGTAAAATGTGTGTTGATCGACTGTTTATGTTATCGGTACAGTAAGCTACTAGTAGTTACATTTTGGGGGGTCAGAATTAGAGGTGGATTTTCAACTGTGTGGTCTGGGGTCCTGCCGCCTTGTTGGAGGGCCGCTGCATACAGAATGTGCACGTCCCCAACTAGGGAGGCATCGAGGGGGCGTGAGGATCAGCTCTGGCAGTGCAATACGTTCCTCCTCTTTAACAGGTAAGCACGTTAGCACAAGAAGTCTTGGTTCCATGGGGCCGAGCCAGGAAAGGCCTCTGGTTCTCCCTTCTCATGACACCCGGGACACAGGTCTGCGGGGAGCAGACCTTTAGCCAGTTCTTACCAGGACTCGCCAAGACTCATATCTCTTGTAAAATCCAAACAGGTAAGACAGCAGGAACAGCAGAGAGATGAGGAACGAGGTCAGCGAGACGTACATCACCCATCCTTGTAGCAGTGGGTTTGCCACTTGAGTGGAGGCCACCAGGATCCAGACCCAGCACCCGAACACCTGTAAGAGAAACTGGAGGGGCTTCGCATGCTGTGGGGGGACAGGTTGCACTTTGCAGGCTCTCTCCTCCTCTGTCTCTGGGCGAAGGCTCTTCCGGTGGAGTTAGGTGGGAATTGCAAGAAATGGGGAGGAAGGCTGGCCCCCTGAGTCACAGTGGATTTTGTTAGAAAATTCAAGGGGCGAACACAGAGGTTACCGATGAAAGGACTTGGCTAAATTTGGCCTGTGGACATATCTTCTTGGCCCAAACGGTGTTGGCACATGCAGTTTTTAAACATTTCTAAATACTCTGCCAACATTTAAAACAGAATATTTCACATGAGAAGTCCAGATTCTAGACCTTTCTTGAGAAATCCATAGTTCTGGCCACAGGAACCCATTCGCCAGGCCAGTGTAGGATGAAATGAGTTGTTACTGTCTCTTTGAAAAGGACCTGGAGTCCTCAGTGGACCACATCCCTCTCCCCACGTGTGGTGCATACTTAGGTATTTACTTTCACTGTAGAATAGTGCTCTCCTTCTCCTGGGTCCCTTCACCCACTGGCAGTGCCTGCCTACTCCTGTGGGCACTTACTTTGGAGCCCCCAGGTTATAGTATCTGACACCCTGGGTCCATTACCATCTGGGCAGTGTGGTTCCAGTTTAATCTCCTGTCAACTCTGTCCAGCCATTTATAACCCCATGGGTAGGGAAACCAGGCCTTTTCCCTGTCTTCTCTGGGCTCTGCCTTTGTTTGCATTGGGGCCGGGCTCGCACCCCTATTGGTGAGCCTAGGGGAGAAACCCAATGCCCACTAGACACATGCCCAGCTAGGGGCCTGGACGGGGACGGTGACCTGAGCTCCAAGTGATTGTGCTGTTGGCTCATCTTGGAAGTTCTGAGTGACCCCCCAGCCTGGGGCCCCTCAGGGAGTCATTGCGAGTCTCCTCAGCCCTCCCCGCTCCATTCCTGTTAAATCTGTGCCTCGAAGCACCGTATCGCTGGGTCCCAGGAACCCCTCCAGCCCATTTCTCTCTGGGGTCCTGAGCACTGCACATCTGCCCACGTGCCCGTGCGAAGCCCCTGCTCTCTGCGGGGCTAGCCCTGAACTGGCATGATCCTGAGAGCACGTCCCTTCTTATGTTTTGCACACCAGTCACCTTGCTCGCCTTGCCCCAGTCCTGGCCCCTGCCCTCAAGGTCCTCAAGTCCTCAAATACAGAACCTGAACTCTCTGCTGCTCCCACATTCCTTCAGAACCCACCTTCCTCAGCACCTGCTGAGTCACCCTCCTGAGGGAGAGAGCTACCAGGAATGGGTGCACGCAGGCCCCTGCAGAGGCTGAGAATGTTCCATTCTTGTGCCGTCTCATAGTGGGTGTGCTGGAGTTTATCTTTTACATAGTAATAAGTTTGAAAATGAAGAAGAACCAGTTGGATTATGAGACCACTGGAGATTTGGGGCAATGGCTCCTGGGTCTGTGGCTTGGAGAAATCGTACCACCAGATGTTAAATTTTCTGTAAAGTCGCCATAATCAAGAGTCATCCAAATGGGTGGCTCATACCTCTGACCATCTGAGACAGCCCATCCCTTCCCTAGTTATGCTGCCTCTCCACATAAGTTTTAAAATCAGCGTGTCAGTATCCACAATGTCTGTCTGCTGGGATTTCCATTGTGCTAAACCTAGAGACCAGTCTGGAGAGAACCGACATCTCTTCTATGTTGAGGCTTCCCACGCACAAACACGGCATCCTCTCTAATTGTCAAGATGCTCTGGTCACATTTTTTTTTATCAACGTTTTATAGTTTTGGGCATCACAGATGCTGTACACATTTTCTTATATCTATGCCTAAGTCTTTGGTTTGAGAGGAGCTACTGTATTTAGACTAAATTTTATTTTATTTTATTTTATTATTTTTATTGATTGATTGAAGAAATGATTAAAATTTTTTTTCCCTCCCATCTACCTCTCCCATTCCCCCTAACCTCTGGTAACCACTAGTTTATTGTCCATGTCCATGTTGATTGATTGAAGAAATGATTAAAAATTTTTTTCCTCCCATCTACCTCCCCCATTCCCCTTAACCTCTGGTAACCACTAGTTTAATGTCCATGTCCATGAGTCTCTGTTTGTTTGTCCTGTTCATTTGTTGCTTTTAAGTTTATATCCCACATATAAGTGGTATCATGTGATTTTCAACTTTTTCTGTCTGGCTTAAAAATTTTTTTTTTTAATTTTCCAATTTTTCTTTGAGAGTGGATAAAAACAGAATTAATTTTGTGTGTTGGCAGTGTATCTTGCGATTTGCCGAGCTGACTTATTAGTTTGAGGAGATATTTTTGGTGATTATTTGGTAGATTCCTTGCGATTTTCTATGTATCTTATTAGATTTTAATTTTTATGATTATTAATGAGGTAGAGCTTATTTTCACATATTTCCTCTTCTATGAAATTTTTTATTGGTAGCAAATTTGTTATAGGTTTGTCCTTTTTTTTATTGATTCATAGGAATTCTTTTTAATAGTACGGATCTCACTGATTATAAATATCACAGATGTATTCTGCCAGCACGGCTCACACATTTTATGTTGTCTTTTGATGAAATGAGTTCTTAATTTTAATGTAATTAAATATGTTGATCTTTTCCTTTATAGACTGTGCTTTTTGGGTCAAGTTTAAGAAATCTTTCCTCACCTTGAGTCCTGAGGCTATTATTACATCTCAGATACTTCTTTGATATTATTTTCTTTCTTCCTGAAATACAGCTGTCAGTCATTTCTTTAGGATAGTCAGTTGGTAATAGTCAGTTGGATTTGTCAGAAACTGTCATTTTCCCCTGACAATTCCTCGCTCTCAGCACTCCCATGATGTTTTTCCCACTGCGTTCTGCATCTTTCGGCATCATTCTGTTGTGTTCTGGCCTCCACTGTTGCTGCTGAGAGCCGGCCGGTGGCTGTACTGCTGCTCAACTCTGTGTTTGGCGTCTGGCTGCTTTCAGAGCCTTCTCTCTGGTGTTCTGCAGTCTGCGTGCATGGCTGTGGGGTGGCTGCATTGCGAATAATGCTATTGGAGACTCTAGGGACTGAAGGGTTCTGCTCACCCCTGTACCGCTCAGCTGGGATATGCACTTTCAGGCTCTGTTTTCCGTAACAGCCCTGGTTTTCTGGGGTTTGTTTTCCCCTCGCACAAACACAATGTGCAGACATAGATAAGTCACCCACCCTCCTGAGGCTTCCAGTGCTGTTGTCCTGGAGAGAGAAGCACTTTTGAATTCACGAAGGGTTCACAGGCTCTCCAGGACAGAGCGGGGACAGGCGAGAAGCCAGAACGGGGCGGGAGGCTGAGCACAGGCAAGGCCTCAAGGGACTGGGCGACGCCTCTGTGAGGCTGGCACCTCCGGAAGCACCAGCTCCGGGGCCTTGTTAATCAATCCTCAGGTGGAGTTTGAGAGTCCTCGACTGAGCCTGGGGTGCCTTGTCCTGAAAGGAGGGACGTGGAGGGATGAGAGCTGCCGTCCCGCATTAGCTGGGCCCATGCATGTCTGTCCCAGTGGTGGGGTCTCCTGCAGGGAGGTGCCAGGGCTGAGCTTTAGGGCACTTGCCAAGTGTCTTCCTCACATGCCATGGGAAGCATATACAGATACTGTCACATGGCCAACACCCAAACAATGCTGGCTACTAGTGGGGACAGCAGTCAGGATTTAGTGGCTGCATATGTGCTTGGACAATTTTAGATGCGCATTAGACCTCCGAGGGCAGAGGGTGGTCTGTGCACTCCTAGTGCCCAGCATCAGGCCTGAAACAGAGCAGGTGGGGAAGGTGTCAAAGAATGTTCTGTTGAATAAATCGAGATAACGCCACCGCCTCACATTCAGCAGGTGCTTTACAGTTTATAACCTGCATTCACTCAGACGACCTTGTTTAGTCGGGATGGCAATTCTAACCACCTTGGGCTTTCTAAGACCAGAGAACTGCCAACTGATACCTGCTTTGGCTGACTGCCAGCTCACCTGTGCCAGGCCCAGGTGGGCAAGGGTACCCATTCATGCTTGTCCCCTCCTGACATCAGAGGCTGCCCTGGCCAGATACTGCCACTTATACGTCCACACTTAATTCTCACCAGGGTCTGTGAGGTGGAACATGCCGCAGGGGACTGGGGTCTGAGGTGGCACAGGACACGGGAAGGACACCGAGGGTCTCCCCATGTGGTCATATCTCACTCCTGAGGGCAGGGGCTTCTGAGCATGGGAAACTTCTGAAACAGCTTCCGTGCTACACAAGCAAAGTGATGCTAGGAATGTTATTTACTTTTATTCCCACTCTCTCCACCTCCTAAAGAGCTGAAGGGACCGGGCCAAGGACAAACTCCAGTGAACTGAAGCTGGGGTGAGCATATTCTCTCGTTTCTGTGTCATGCAGTCTGGGTTGGTTCTTTAGAGGCAAGACAACTTAGAGTGTTTGTCTTTCCTTTTTTAAAAAAAAACTCATATTTAGTTTTCCAGATTTTCTTGGCAGCCTCACCCACTCCTTTCAATCTTCGTCTTGTGTTTCCCAAGAGCAGGATATATTTTTAGATGTTTGAGGCTGGCCCTCAAACTAAAAAACGTCTTATTAGAGCTGGAAGGCAGCCACGCTCATCTCTGTGCTATCGATCCTTATTATTATTATTTTTTTTGAGGGGGGGGAAGCTTGATGAAGGAAAAGCATCAAGCCAAAAATGTGGCGTAGGAATAAGGAGCTTCTGAAATCTGCCGACCCCGAGTCTTGCCGTCAGAGCAGCACGTGAGTCTCACTGCTCCTGGGGTCCCCAGGGACTTCGAGAAAGCCCTCAGGATTGGGTCCTGCCCAGAGGTTTGCATTGAACCGGAGAGAGAGGCTGTGCTGTTAGGTGTCCAATGATGTGGCCGGGATGAGGACCCAGAGCCCATCTCCTCACTTCCACTCTTACTTGGGTCTCCAGAGGAGGGGCCACATCCTTCCTGCTGGGTTCGAACCCCAGCGCTGCCTATTGGGCAGGCTAC